CCATTTCCCAAACATATCTTTCTCCAATATAGCTGAGCAGCCCCTATTTTGTCTCTATTACCTAGGACCTATCAGACTCCTAAATGATCCTCCTGCCTCCTCCTCCATCATATTAGGTCCTTGAAAGTAGAGACTTGCCCTGCTTTGTCCTCCCATATTTCCGGTGCAATAACTGGAATGTGGTAAGCACTTAGGAAGTATACGTTGACTAGTGGCTTGTCTGAGGATTGGTGTGGAACATGAGACAGTCACTTTAAATATGAAGGACCAGGAGGCACTCAGAAAGGAAGGTCTGACATCCCTCTCCCAAGCTCTGGGATCCTTAGTTGACTCATATTCAATACCCCCTTCTCATCCCTTGGCTTCTACTAACAGGAAGGACCCGCTGACTTGAAACACTTTGACCCAGAGTTCACCCAGGAAGCGGTATCCAAGTCCATTGGCTGCACCCCTGACACCATGGCCAGCAGTTCTGGGACCTCAAGTGCATTCCTCGGATTTTCCTATGCACAGGATGAGGATGACATCTTGGATTCGTAAGAGATAAGCACTTATGAAGTCACCAAGACCATCGGGCAAATGCCGGGACTACCTTCTGCTGCCAGGACACAATGAGTTTGATGACTCAAAGAAGAGGAAGGTCATTTCCATCACATAAAAAATCAGTGCAGGGCTCAGAATGGCAGGATAGGTCACTGAGTAGCCAGGTGTCTGTAGTGTTGATTTGCCCTTCTTGAGAAATGACTGCTGTGTTTGGTTTGTTGTTGTGACAAAATATCCAAGAAAAGTAATGGAAAGATACCTACTTGGGCTCACCATTTCAGGGATTTCTGCCCATGACTGTGGTCTTTAGCCAAAGCTGAGTCATTTTGGTGGGAGGAGTAGCACAGGAAATCTGCTTACATTATTCCTACCAGGAAGCAGAAATAGAAGCCTGGGCTGGGAATAAGATTTACCTTCAGAGTAATGCCCCAAGTGACTGACACCCTCCAAGCAGGGCCCACCTTTTAGTCAGCATCACCTTTCCACGCCACACAATTATGAATCTGAGTGGACTAAATCACTGATGAAGCCTGGGCCCTCGTGATCCAATCATGTACTAAAAGCCCTGTCAGCGGAACACAGAACCGTCAGAAAACACTTCAGATCCAAACTATAATAGCTTTGAATATCGGGTCACATGAATCACATGATTCAAAGCCACCACCATTGTGTTCTAAGCCAGAGAAAAGGGGGAATGGGACAGGAGTGGGTTAAAAAGAGCACCATTAAGGAGCTTTCCGGAAGCCCAGTCCAGTGGCTTCCTTTAGCATTTTATAAATCCCAGCTCTACATAATGCAGCCTGGGCACCAGCTACTTCTCATAGTAAGGGAGTTCAAACACACTGAGAGAGAGAGGGGAAGAACGCTGCATAGGCAACCAGAACCCTGGGAAAGGACCTCTTGGTATCTGAATTTTTATTTCAGTGTGTAAAATGATGAGATGTAGTGTATTGCCTTCAGTTTCACAATGCTCTGTGTGAACGGTGTCTTTGTTGTGGGTAGTATTAGATGAACTGGATATCTGTTGGTAAGTATGGTTGCCTCAACACCTTTCAATATTCAAGGAATTCCCTACTTTTGAGGCTTGATTAGAGGGGAGGAGGGAGTGGCCACCTCTATTTAGAATAGTGGGATTAAGAAAAAAAAAAGACAGATTCTTACTTCCTCATTCTCCTCTGAGCTCAAGCAAGGCATGTGGTTCAGAGATGCATTTGTACCAACCTGGGCCTAAGCACAGGACTGGGAATTCTCTTTTGAGTTCCTACTGTAGAAGAGGTGACCATGTCGATTGTAGCAGCCAGTCCTCAGCATACCAGGGCCTGCAGCTCTGCTCCGGGAAGCCTCAAGATTTTCTTCTGAAGATTTCTAAGTCTTTCAGTGCACTCTTTTACTTAGTTGTCCAAAGTCAACCTCCGAACACTTCTCTTGGGTGAGCTGTGGAACAGATGTTCATGTCTGTTAGCAATTTTCATCCAGATGACCCTACGGTAGTAATTACTTTACCTTCTTTTATAAATCAGGAGACAAGGTCAGAGAAACTGCTCCTTGTTTGAAGGCCACACCACAAACACAAGCTGGGATATGGAACAACTTGACCTAGGGTTCTACCCTATAACCTTTGGACAGGTCTGCTCCTCCTTTAGGTTGTTAGAGCCAAGAAAAGACTCAGCATCTCTCATGAGAGGTGGACACAATACACATGTCCTTAATACCAGGGAGTCAGGGATGGGTGGATCTGTGAGTTCTAGGGTAGCCTGATCTACATGGTGAGTTCCAGGCAGTCAGGGAGACACAGTGGGACTATATAGGGGGAAAAAAAAAACACCAAAAACCTCTTAGATCAAGACAAGAATTGGCTAGAACAAGCCAGAGAGTGAAGACAGGTCTTGAAGAGCCCCTTCTGCCTGGCAAGAGTGTGAGCATGTCATGTATGTTCAGGTATGCCCAGGTGGGGTAGGCCATTCTGTTTTATTTCAGTTTTTTTTTACAAACCTGCAGCACTTACTTCAGGGTAGCCTCATTAGCTTGCTGGTTTGGAGCCAATGGGAGGACTTTTTTTTTTTTTTATCAGTGTATGCTGTGATTTTTATGCCTTTCCTCCTATACTTGGTTCCACTCCTTTCCTTTCAGTTTTGTTCCCTCTGTCCCCTGCCCTGAGAATTAAGGGGGGAGGCAAGGCTGGGACTCATGAAAACAAAGTCAAACACAGTAATATTGACCTACTGGAGATCAAAGCCCAGTCAAGAATTACTATTAAGATTTGTATAGCCGGGAGTTGGTGGTGCACGCCTTTAATCTCAGCACTTGGGAGGCAGAGGCAGGGGCAGGTGGATCTCTGTGAGTTCGGGGCCAGCCTGCTCTACAAGATCTAGTTCCAGGACAGCCTCCAAAGCCACAGAGAAACCTTGCCTTGAACACACCCCCTCAAAAAAGGATTTGTATGGAAAGGAACCCATTTCCATCTAGTGCAGGTTAACTGCTAGAGGTGGGACACAAGGAAAGAACTAATATTTCCACTTACAGGGTTGTAACTGCCAGAAAGCTGAACATGCTGTCAAGTCCACAATCCACTGGTTCTGTTTAAGATTGTAAAATCACAGAGAGTTTCGCCAGGACAGGAAAGAAAAATGAAGAACAAGCACACTATTAGACTGACTGTGTTATGTCTATGTTTATTGAAATATCCTAGGTTTAAAAACTCATATCAGTATGTATGTGTATGTGCATAAACATGCCACAGGGTACATGTAGAGGCCAGAGGACAACTTACAGACATCAGTTCTCTACTTCCACTATGTGGGACTCAAGGATTTAACTCAGGTTGTCAGGGTTAGCAGCAAGCGCCTTTTTTACCAGCTGAGCCATCTCATCCGGCCCACCCCAAGTTTTATAAGCATCATCTATAATCCTCAATAAGCATTTAGGAACTATTCTCAATTTACAGGTAGGGCACACTCAGCTTAAGCAACTTGTCCAAGTTCACCTAATACAAGTCAATCCGAAACTGGATTTGGGAACAGCTGACTCTAAAACCCTCTAGCTCCTTCTGGAACCCGGTACAGTGGGAAAAACGCTCTGGGAGGCGCGCTCTGTCTCTCTGTATGACTACCACTTCTAGTACACACTGACAGTACAGAATGATCCCGTGGCTTGCGGGACTCCAGATCGCTTTCATTTGCATCCTTAATTGCACACTGTATTCAATTTGGCAAGCCATGCAGCACTCCTTCAGAAAAGTCTCCGGTCTGGAGATGAACTCAGTGGTAGAGGGCTTGATGTGGAAGGCTCTGGGTTTGCTCTTCAGTGGGAGGGGAGAGATCATGCTTCTTCACACTCTTAACCACTTTTTAAATTCGTAGTGCTCATAGTTGTGATAATGCTTGACAAGTTGTGTATTTTAAAATCCTAAATGCAACTGCTCCATACATGACATAGAAATGAAAAGGAAAACTTCTGGGGTTCCTACACTCGCCTGCCCTAGTCTCGACGCTGCCGCCGTTATGTACTCAAACCCCACAGCCCTCTCGATGAAGGCAGAGTGCTCGGCTGAAGAGAAGGGTGCCTGCTTGTGGATGCAGGCGTTTCTCGTTTCCATGGTGATCGTTTGCACAAGCACTTCCCTCTGCCCGAAATGCTTCCCCAGCTCTACATCTCCGAGGCCTCACAACTCCCTGCATTCCAGGACTCCCGGCCTCCCAATCCTCTCTCATCCCGCAGCCCTGCAGGGGTCTCGGCCTCTCCCCAGACCCGCCCAGACGCCCTGCGCCTGCGTCCTGGAGCCAGACCGGGGCGTGGCTGGCCGCGAAGCCCACACAGTTTCCACCCTCAGCGAGGTCTGGGGACCTACTCTCTCTATCGGTCTTTAATGGCGGCTGTAAGGAGATGAACGTAATGGGCTTCTTATTAAAACGTGAGTCCTCAAGCGTGGCTGCTCCCCTCACCCGTAGGAAGTGCCCAGCCCGGCGTTAGCCCCGCCCCCTACCCGTCAGCCCCCGCGTTCGCTGCCAACTGGCACCGCCACTCTGTCGCTCTATCGTCATCATGCCGCGGCGGAAGGCGCTCGGGGCCCGGAGGCACGCCTTGTAGGCGCGCTTCCTTGGATACCTGGCGGCCTCTGGCCTCAGGTAAGGAGAGGTTGGGTTGCTCCGGCCGGCAGGGCGTTGCGCGGCCTGGGGATGATGAGGGCCCGGCCGTGCCGCTCTGGAGACCCCTAGCCCAGCCTTGTGGGGAACTCGAGGTCGGCAGAGGTAAACTGAGGGCGCGTACATGGGCTGGGAAATGGTCCTGGAAATGATCTAGAATCTCCAGTTCCTCAGACCGTGCGATTTGTCATCGTCCTGCAGAGTATGAAAGAACCCTGGGCAAGGAGCCTTCAAGTCTTAGGCTCAGCTATCATTGCTACCACCCTTGTTTGCTTCGGCATTCTGACAAAATTTGATTTGCCTAGTAAGGTTATTGAAGAGAATAATAAGAGAATAAGGTTCTATCCAAAACGATGTTTTTTAAAATTATTATTAATTATTTCTTTTTAGCCTTTTCCTATTCTTAAGGAACCTCATTTTTAATTCTAATAGGACAGAACCCTTTAGCAAAAAAAAAAAAAAGCAGAAAATATAAATCTCAGTACTGTGATGCTCGGGTTCTTTGTGGTGCAGAATAGCAATAGGTCAATTTCATCACCAATATGGACATTAAGACTTTCCAACCAGGAAACTGCACTGTATGTACACAGAATGAAAACATGCATACAGAAGGATGTGGTGGAACATAAAAATATAGCTCTGTCAGGTGGTGAAATCAACATGACAAAATATTTTGTTATTTCATTGAAGGGGTTAAGGATGTAGTGTAGTTAGCACTGAGTGCTAACATGAGGCCCTGTGTGTTTTAGATAGATGGTCCTCAGCACAGAAAAAAAAAATGGCATTGGAAAGGCAGCGACATGGTAGCAGTGTGCCTATAATCCCAGCACCCAGGAAACTAAGGCAAGACATCTTATGAGGTTCAAGGCCATCCTCCTATTACTACGTAGTATATTAGAGACTAACTTGAGCCATGAGACTCTGTCTGAAAAGAAAATAAACTGTATTGAAGGAATCTCATATCAGCTCTGAAAACATGGATTGGCATTGGGCAGCCTTCTAGTGATTTAGGAAAAGTTATCTTATGCTCATTTTGAGCATAAGTTTCAAATAGACCGAGAGTGTTTTAAACTTCTAATTAGGATTTATCTGTTGTGTATGTGTGGGTGTACACGCCATTGAGTACTTGTGGAAGTCAAATGACCACTTGCAATTGTCATCCTATGGGTTTTTCAGGCTTGGTGGCATGTGCCTTTAACTACTGAGCCATCTCTTCAGTTCACAAATGGACTCAAATTTCACTGTTAAATAGTTATGTCACCTTTGCTTGAATAAAACCTATACCAAATTGGACCTGTCAACATTGTCTCACAGAGAGGGGAGGGCTTAGGAGGCCTTGTCCCTCACTGAAGCTCGGTGGGCATTTAAAAGTTGCTAGGGCAGGGAAAGACATTTTCTTCAGTGCTATGGTATAGTCACCCATTTCTCACACTCCCATTAGCAATCCTAACTAAACTCATTTATTTAAAAAAGACAGGGACAACTACTAAAAGTAGAGGGACAACTATTTGGGGAAAAGAGGGGAATTAGTGAGAGGGGGACAAGAGCACAAAATGGGGAATATATGATTAAAATGCAACATGTGCAGGCATGAAATTGTCAAATTAATATATGCTAATAAAGTCCTAATAGAAAGAATTATATCATGAAAATTCAAGAAGAAAACAGCATTGGATATACTTACAAATCTTAACCACAGCAAAAGCTTTTCTAAATGCATCATTCTGTCCAGAAGCCAGAAGGAGAAATAGTAATACTTTTGATCTATAAACCCTGTAACCTGCAAAATTAAACCAAAAGGTTACCACCAGCCAAGGCTAAAGGCAAATAAAAATTTGCAAGTTTGGGAACATAAAACCCAATGGGAAAATAAGCAGAGGACACAGTCAAGAAAATGAGAAGAAATACGAATGGCCAATGGTCAATACAGTAATTTCCCCTTAATCTGCAGGAGCTGTTCTAAGACTGTCAGTGTGTGCCCAAAACCACAAATAGTATCAAAACATTCATATGTGTGTTCACATTTGTTAATATTTTATAAGAACTAGCATTACTGGGGCTGGAGAGATGGTACAGGCTGCTCTTCCAGAGGGCCTGGGTTCAATTCCCAGCAACCACCTGCTGGCTCACAACCCTCTAGAATGGGATCTGATGCCCTCTTCTGGCCTGCAGGCATACATGCAGACAGAGCACTCATACATTAAAAAAAAAAAAAGTAAAACTTTGGTGAATATGGTTTCTTTCAAAATACCTTATTCTAGACTTACCCTTGTGATTGAGATAATACCTATGTGATAATATCTATGAGATAGTGCCAGCTGGGCGTTGGTGGCACACCCCCTTTAATCCCAGCACACGGGAGGCAGAGGCAGTCAGATCTCTGAGTTCGAGGCCAGCCTGGTCTACAGAGCGAGTTCCAGGACAACCTCTAAAGCCACAGAGAAACCCTAAACCCTGTCTTGAAAAAAAAAAAGGAGATAGTGTCTGTGTGATGCTGTGAAGTAAGGACAATGATACAGGCATTGTGACATACATAGTATCAGGATATTGTTATAGTTCATTCAGTAAGAGCTCTGTGATACCAGGACCATCAATCTGATTGACAGATAGTGTATATAACAATGATGGCTACACAAAGCAATGTCTCATGTCCAGGGCAAGGTATTGTAGGATAGTGTTAAGATTTCATCATACTACCCAGAATGGTTCACAATTTGAAACTTACTTCTGGAACTTTATATTTAAATTTTCAGATCACATTTAACCTTTAGCAACAACCCTTGAAAAGCAAAATCATGTATAGGGATACTATTCTGTTTTGTTGGTAAAGAGGACAAAAATAGTGTTAATTGTTAATGGAAGTATAAATTATTAATGCTTTGGAGGGCAGTTTGTACACATTCAAACAGATAGTAATCTAATGCTGCAAAATATATAAAACATCACATTTGAAATATTTTTAAGGAGATGGAGAGATGGCTCAGCAGTTAGGGGCCATACTGCTCTTGCAGAGGACCCTGGTTTGGTTCCCAGCACATCAGGTGACATAACTATTTGTAAGTCTACCTCTAGGGGATCTGCTTTCTGGCCTCTGTAGACACATGTACATACACATACATACATATAAAAATAAAATGGATTCTAGCTGGGCGTAGGGACACAGGCCTTTAATCCCAGCAGTTGGAGGCAGAGGCAAGTGGGTCTCTGTGAGTTTGAGCCAACCTGTTCTATGTAATGAGTATTAGAACAGCCAAGCTATGTAGTGAGACCCTGTCCCGAAAAATAAATAAAATAAAAATAAAAAAAATTAAAAAAAGAATCTGGAAATGTTTTTAGTATTTTACTAACAAATTGAAAACCATGTCACTAAATTTATGATTGATTAAACATTTATATTAATACTACATCCTTAGAATACTAAGTAGTTATTTGAAGGAATTGGTCTATATGTATTGACAAGAAAGGATGTCAAATACATGGTATGTTTTGGAGCAGCATTGATGGCAAGACCTTATTTCATAAAATTAAGTTATGCCTAAGATGATCTAGAGAGCTATACTCTCCACTTGACAGTAGTGAGCAGTGAGGAATGACTTGGGAAATACGAGGATGGTGTAGGCAAGGTCATGAAAGTAGGCTGGTAAGAGAGCCAGAGAGCAGCCTGAAAGCTAATGCCAGGCACAAGCTGTAGTTTGGCCACTGGTTTTTCAGCTATGATCAACCTTTGAGAATCATTAGGGTTTTGTAGGTAGGTGCAGCTGTTTATCCTTCTCCAGTGTAATAGGACACTTTTAAAATGCTGCTTCTCTGGTTTGCTTTATAAGGTAACCATGGAGAAGGAGGTGCGGAGTACCATTCTTTTCAATGCATACAAAAAGGAGGTGTTTACCACCAACACTGGCTACAAATCTTTGCAGAAAAGACTTCGGAGTAATTGGAAGATTCAGAGGTGACCAGGATCTTGGAGACTGCTTTCTAAGTGATAATGGTGGCCTGATGGTAGACCTGAATAGTCATTCCTTAACTTCGATTGCTTGGGCGGGAGGGGCTCAATTTAAAGATTACTTGGTCAATATTTTGAAGGTCAGACTGAATGTTATTAAGTTGCCCCTCATAAAAAACAAATATTATAATAATTATAGGTATATAATATTTTAAGATAATCAGAAGTTTTCTCTATATTTTATACTTGATCTTGGCCAAAAGGCAGAGAAATTATTCTCCATATTTTAAGTTGGTTTAAAACTTCAGTTTAAGCCGGGCGGTGGTGGTGCATGCCTTTAGTCCCAGCACTCCAGAGGCAGAGGCAGGCAGATCTCTGTGAGTTCGAGACCAGCCTGGTCTACAAGAGCTAGTTCCAGGACAGCCTCCAAAGCCACAGAGAAGCCCTGTCTCGAAAAACAAAAACAAAACAAAACAAACCCTTCAGTTTAGGGAAGGAAAAGTGAGAGTTAAATGAGAATGTCTCTGTTTTTAACCTGTGCTTTCTTTAAATGTCTTTTTCCACCTTGTGGTCATGAAGATTGAACCTAACACCTTGTGTAGGCTCGGCAAGCACTCTACTACTAAGTTACAGCTCTAGTCCTTAGATGGTTATTTGTTTTGTTTTTGTCAATGAGTGAAAATATGTGGTCGTATAAATTAAAATTAGAGCCAGGCTTGGTGGCATGTGCCTGTAATCTCACACAGGGTAGGTGGAGTAGGAGTTCAAGGTTAGACGTGGATACATAGTAAGTTTGGGACCAGCCTGGACTGTATGAGACACTATCTTAAAATATAGATAAACTAATGGAAGAATTGGTTGAATTAATGTT